GATAGATAGATAGATAGATAGATAGATAGATAGATAGATAGATAGATAGATAGATAGATAGATAGATAGATAGATATTCTCCACAATGGAGAAAAGAGGAGAGTTTTCTTGGGGGTATGACTCCTGAGCTGGGAGAGTGGCTCCAACAGATCCCAGGAACAGCATCACAACTCTCTGTCAAGAAGAGTGCAGTGCTAGGAACAGCTAAGATACTGCATAAAACCTTCAAACTCCCAGGCCTCTGGTAGAGGACCTGAGATTGAGGAAGACACATACCACCCATAGCAGGTTCTCTTGTTTTATCCATGTATGGTTTGTTCCAGTAACCCATTTATCATCAGATTGTCCTAGTTCCCCAATATCTGGCATGGACCTTGTTAATCTAAGTGACATCCAAGCCAGCATGACTGTTTTAGTTCATGTCACTGTCATATTTGAGGTAGGCAGGTAAAGCATTAGGGGGTCTGATAAGGCAGGTACCAGGTGGGATTTGAACCTCGGTCTCCCGTGTCAAAGGGCGGTGCTCTAACTATTATGCAGTAGTAATCCATTTTTCTTTCCATTTTCTTTCACAGATATTATAAAGTCTGTTATAGAGTGGCAGCCATTTTGGTACAGGCCTTCCTCTACATTACTATTTCAATATGTGCACTGGTACTTTTATATTCTATCCCTATGTCCTACTGAGGAAAAAGTAAGGGGTAGTTACACCACCTGGCACCTTTTTATTCAGGCTTTGAGTCTCTTTGACTGGTAGAATATGGTTTCACCAGTCTCTGTCTTCAGCTTCTGACAAGCCATTTGTGATTAGTCAAAAGGTCTCATTGTGCCTCCTTCTTTCGGGGCAGTTGGGTCACACTTAAACCAGCAATCTTCTAGTAATCTTCTCTGGAATTCACTCTGGAACACTTCAGGTGACTTGAGGTTCCTTCCAACCAACCCTTGTTAAGCAGCTTAAAACTGCCCATTCCTTTTCAGGATCACCAGCCAACATTCCTTTCCCCTTTTTTCCTAATTTCCAAATTTTCAAGAACCAATGCTGTCTAGATCCATCTTGGGTTGCTAGCTGTTACACTTCCATTTCTCCTTTTCCCATTCTTGTTCCCCAAAGTTTCTGTTTTATTTTGTTTTCAGTCCCCATCTTCTTTGTCAACTCTGCATAACACCATCTCCTTTCTTTACAAGAAAATACAGGCTAGGGGAAAGTTATGATTATCCATTGTACTCACAGGCATCTGTTGTCAGTTTAAAAGAACAGAGTATCTGTTTGTATATGTAACAAGATGCTACAGATCAAAGTGCATCAGCAGGCTGTCACACATTTGTTTTCTGATTATTTAAAGGTATTCTACACATTGTATCTCCGTTGCACATTAAAAGCAAAACAAAACAAACAAAAAATAATTATTTTGAGTAGTTCCCATACTTCTGACTATATTTTCCACAGCTATCTTTATTGACAAAATGACTCTGGTAAACAGAAATTATGTAAAGGATGGAAGCTATTCAATCTGCTTTGGCATCAGCATAGGCACTGGGAGCAACGGTGCTGAGAACAAAGATATGGAATACCATGAAATAAAGAGTGGGGGTAATATTGGGAGATAAAGGATGAGTCCTATTGCCCTCATGACTGAATTTTAATAATGTAAAATGAATTTTTTCCAGTCCATACCAGTTGTGGCATTTTCTATCGATACACCAATTCTTAATCTAAACAGTGTAAAGAGCACAAATAAATATTTCAATCATTGCGGAATTATAGTGCCCATTATGGAACATGTCTATACACCAAAAATGGTCTGAAACAGGTTTTACTACATAAATTAAGTGCATTATATTTATAGTACACAAGTCTAAGGACAACTATTATATTCAAGAATATTTGTCACTGGGTAACTTAAAAATAGGAGAGCCACTTTGGTGTAGTGGTTAAGGCACCAGGCTAGAAACCAGGAGACCATGACTTCTAGTCCCACCTTGGGCACAAAGCCAGCTGGGTGACCTTGAGCCAGTCATTCTCTCTCAGCCCTAGGAAGAAGACAATGGCAAATCACTTCTGAAATTTTGCTAAGAAAAATGCAGGGAATTGTCCAGGCAGTCATCAGGAGTCAAAAATAACACATCCCTCCTGCCTCCCCCTCCCAAAAAAACATAAAAATATAAACAAGCAACATATTTTTAGTTGATGAGATAAAACTTTGGGGGGAAAATTGTAACTTTTAAATAACGTATTACTTTGTGACGTTTTAATTTTAAAGTACTTTGTGGGCTGTATAAACATGGTGATTGAAGAGAACTTTGTGTTCTGTTTTGCTGTTGTTGTTGTTTTTTTATCCTGTGAGCCAATACAGATCCAGGTGTTTGACAATTGCTATTAGCAGATACTGTATATAGACCAGAAAGTAAACTTGTCTGTCTGTGCTCTCATCATTCATTTGTATTAGCTTTCTGAATGAGTCCTCCAGGAATAAAGTTTTTGGTCTCTGCTGAACTTCTGAGAACAAGTTCTGACAAACATAAAGCATATATTCATAATGCTCTGTGTCCCATAGTAACCACTTGATATATAACTGCAGACAAACCTTTTGATTGTCTGAGGGAGAAAAAGAGAAGAAGGGATGATATAT